ACCGATGTTCGGACTGTCTTCCCTGTCCCGCGCCGGAAGTCGGCGCGGAGGAGAGGCCGTTCCTCGGAGGGCGCCTTCCCCTAGCGCCTGGCGAGTCTCCCCTACTATTGATCGGTTCCTTTGTTTGCCGAATAATCGATGCAACCTTCGATGCCCTCCCCGATCCTTTTTGCGAAGACGTAATGATAAGAGCTGCCGCGAGAACGGCTGCGGTCCCGCCGGGAAAACGGAAGTGCCACTGAGTTTGCAACTGCGGCGCCCGCTGTTATGTAAAAATGTATACAATAAAAAAGAAAAAAAAAAAAAGAAGAAAAAGCTGCTTACTTTGGGGCGGGGTGGGGCGGGGGGGGGGGGGGGGGGGGGGGGAGGGAGGGAGGGGTACCTGTAGCAACCGGCTGTTCGGACGAAGGAAGAAGAGGTGGACTAGTGCGTACGGGCTCAGAGGCTGAGCCCTGAACACAGGCAGCTCCCGTCCGGACTGTACGTATATAAATACAAATAGGCAGGAAACTTCGTTCCTTACTGGGAGTCAAGTAGGGCAATTGCGTCGCTCCAAAAGTCCCTTATGTTCACATTAAAAAAAAAGTACGACTAACATAACGGTCATAAAAAGAAAGACGACTGAGATGTTGTTAGAAGTATTTCAAGCCCCTTGTAAAAATATACTGCGTAAAAAAAAAAAAAAAGAAGAAAAAATGCAGATGAGTATAGTGTTTTAGGGCAAGCGTCGTAAACTGTCAAAAGCGGTTGCCACTGAATAGCCCGAACTTTTGTCGAACCTCCAACTAAATCGGCGAACCTTCAAACTTTTTGCTAAGTTCGACAAAAATCGGCTTATGGACAGTGTTGCCCGGCTTCTACACGAAGATTTCGAATTTTGGGAAGCGAATGATATAGAAAGTCGTTTATTTAATATTTCGCAAAACGATTACCAACGTTTACACGAGATAAAAAAAGGAAAAATATGTACTTTTAGTGATTGGGTTAGTAGGTAAGTCGAACCAGCGAAGCGATACATCCAACAAATATTGCACTTTTCCTCCACCAGGCGGTGTCAGCTCGTTTTCGAAATTTCGTGCATGCGCTCGGAAGTCGAACTTCGCGTCGGAAGTTCGAGAAAGCCGCGTACTTGGTCGCACCGGAACCTCGCTAGGTTCGCGACGTCCCTAGAAGTGGCAAAACGCCCCGTGTCACTTAATCGCGAATGGGGGAACAAGCCTGGAGGCGTTCGAGGCACGGGGTTGAGTGCTCTTCCAGTCTGGGGGGTGACTGAACGGCGGCGGCTAATGTTCTTGACGCCGCATAGGGCGATTCACAGGAGCGGGGGCCCTTGGAGGTATACTGTATCGTTTGGACGGCTTTCGGAGAACTCATTGGATGGTTTCCATTTAGGACTCGGTTTGTCTAAACTCCCTCGATAAAATTCACGCGTACAAATGCCCCCAACCATTCTTCTTTTTTTTTTTTTTGTGGAAACGCGCAAGATGCGGGCCACGAGCGGGTGCTCCGCCGCCATTTGCTTCCAAGGGCCGCTTGAAACACGGGTCTCGTGCATTGGCGCATTTGACGCTACTTGCAAGAGAAACGTAAACAGATCCAGGGGTCTTTAGGTTTGTCTGCTGTTGTTCAGCTTTTTTCCGGCTTGAAAAAGGCTCCTCCATTCGACTAATGTACAACCTCCTTTGTTGCTTTAGATTTGGCAATATCGAGAGGCCGTGGCCGTTGAAATAAACTTTTCCTTGACATCAGACCTGGCGTGGTGACGGAGTTACTTTTTACCTAGCTTCCGGAAATGTTCTGTTCGAGTTACTCCCGCGACCACGTGACTGACGCTTCATTGCTACAGGGGTGTGACGTCAGCAGGCTAAGTTGTGTGCGCAGTAAACAGACTTGCGAACGGTGGCGCCAGTGTGCAAATAGCCCTCAAACCCTCCCGGTTCCCAACTAGACGGCTGGTTTCGCTGTATTTGCGAGATTGAATCTACGCGCAATGTTTGGGAAATGGTCGCTTATTGCCACCCTTGCATATAATTCACTTTTATGGTGAAAGAATCATGCGTAAAAATTTAGAACAAAATACCCGGACCTGAAGTGTGCCAGGACTGCCTAATAGATGTCGGAACTAAGTTTGTTGCCAAACAAAAAGCAAAAAAAAAGCGAATAAATACAATACACAATTTGTCTCGTTTTCTATCAGCCGCCTCGGTGGCTCCCCAATAAGAAATAAAGAAATAAAACCTCGGTGGCTGGCGAGGCGAGAGCGCCGGCCCACAGATCCGCAGATGGCGGTTTCGAATCCCGACCGAGGTGCCCGCAGTCTGACAGAGATTGACGGTTGCACGTCGAAAGGTCCCCAAGTGGTCCAAATTAATCCTCAGTCCTCCGCTGGGGCACGGTACAAGGTGCAAGGGAAGGTCCCGACAACCAGCTGGGGATGACAGCGCTGTTCGATTCAAACTGCGTACCTCTGCTAAGTCGTTAATATATATGGAAAAGGCGGCAATGTCGTCTTCCCCATATGCTTCGTGCAGTCTGCTTGCTTCGCTCGCCTGCCAAAGTGACTCTAGCGCGAGCAGTACGACAATGCCTTTTATTTTCTTTATTCATGAAAATTTAAGAAGAAATATTCTGAGATTGTATACCCCGTGGGATCTTCTTAGCTGACAGGTATATCTTTCAGAGCAACTTTCGACGATCGAAAACAGCCCGGCCAAAGCCGCCATTAACGAAGACACACCCAAACAGCCTCGATACACGTATACGTAACGCACGAACCGCCGGTTCTGGCACTGACGTTCCAGACGCTGCCATTAGCGGGTGCTCGTAACAGACGTGCACTTTTCGAAGAAAAAAAAAACAACAGAAAACGCGTTTTTTTTCTAGAGCCAGGAATCATAGAACGAGCACGCAGTCTCTCAAACTGCGATGGCGCTCTCGTTCAGTCTCGATTTCATCGAGATTGGACGACGTCGTCATTTTTAAATAAGTAAACATTAATCCTTCCCAACCTCTCTCGTTGCCGCGTGATTGGCGTGCCTGGAACAGGCAGCTCGCTCCTCGTTTGTTCGGGTAATTCAAGAGCGGGCCAGAATCTGAGATGGCCCGGGAACCCGCGTTCCTTCGTTTTTGTTCGCCTTTTCGGTGGTCTGGCTCGAGTCATTTTAGCGCTGTTGTCCGGAGGTTTTAGTGGATTTGATGCGGGTTGCTCTTTCTTATCCTATTCGCTTCGTTCTACCAGAGATAGCTTTTATGTTCTTTGATCGTTCACTTTTTTTTTTTTAAGCGAAAGCGTCGCGAACGATGCTGCGTTAGTCGGGTAAGTACCGCCGCGGCGCAAGATGTTGCCGACGGTGCACACAGCACGCACTCAGCGTAATGGAGACGGCTGTAAGGCACTTTTTCTCGTCTTTCCCGACAGCCGCGAGCTAACAGCACCTCGAATAATCGAAGCCAGTGCACTCGAATTTTGACGTCACCACAGGGAGGTATGGGGCGAAAACGCAGATAGGACACCGAGTGCTGGCTCGGCGCTCGGCTGGGCCTCGCGTCCAATCAACGCCTCGAAGGACGCTCGACAACACCGTCGGACTGCGTTGACCTTCCATTTGAGGAAGAGCAGGTCTGACTGCGCTTCTCGCCTTCGTTGAGTCGAGGAAATAGACGCGTTGTGCACGATATTGATTGTTCTCTACGCTTCGTCTTTATTGACGACCAAAGCGGACGCCGCTATCAGCCATGCCAGTCAGTCCGGCCTGGCGAGCGTATACCACCTGCACGCTCCGCGCCCCGCACCTCATTGCGCCCCTCCGGAAGGTCACGTGACACGTACGCGGCATTGGGATTGGCTGGGATGGCTGGATAGCGTCCGCTGCGCTCCATGCATGTACGGAAGCCGAGCGATCTTTGTTTCTTTTACCGCCATCTGCCGGAAGCCTTTGGAAGTTTCGATCATCCGGAGGCCACGACCTCAAAGATGGCGCTTTGTCTGTCGCTCTCGTGTTTCTTGTGCTTTCCTTCTTTTTTCTTTCTTTAATGCACATTCTGTGTGTGTGTTTCTTTTTCTTTTATTTGCACCGCTTATAGGCTTATTGTACTGATATATCACGGCCGTTTGATTGAGAATCAGAGCCCGCGTGGGACCGTCTACGGTCATAGAGGTACGTGCTGCCATATTTGATTTGATTCCGGTACGGTACAGTCGAGGATGAACCGAAATGTGTCGATTCTTGGCAACTGGACTAACCTACAGATAGGCCTTGCTTTTGCGAATTCGTTGTCTCTCTGTATAGCGTGTTTAGTGTGTGCAACGTAAGAAGGTGATTCGTCGGTGTACTTACAACAAAAAGAAAAAGAAAACGACTGTTTAGAGCTGTTTCATCTGTGCACGCTTGTCACTGCCGAATAAGGTCAAAAGAAAAGCCTCTCCCACAAAACTCTCTCCTCGTCACAATTGGTGGCACCCTCCTCTCCAGCGTTCGCTCTGCTAAAGTGAAAAAGACTGCGGGGCTTGTACCGCTCTTATTAATTAACTCGCAACAGATGGTCACTCCGGTCGATCGGGTTTTCCGCTTTCGTTGGCGACCAAGGTGGGAACCGTATATTTGACTTATTTTTTTTTTTTCTTTGCCGTGCTGAGTGACACCTTGTAACTTTGCAACGATAAAACGGGTGCGGAAACCTCGCGGTGTCGGAAGTCCCTTATCTCAGTATCCTGTATACGGAGAGCATTGACGGGACGGAAGAGAACTTGAGCAAGTAATATTTTGTTTGGTTCTCCCAATGCATCCTTTCTTTTGCATCGTTTTTTTTTTATCCTTTGTTTTTATTCAATAACGAGTCAGGGAACTTTTCACTGGACTTAACAACTTGCTACATGCCTGCCTGTCAAGCTTCTTTTTTATTTTTTTATAGAAACTATAGATGTAGGTTTCTTCGTTTCTGCCTTTTACCTGTATTACATGAAAAAAGATGCATCCCTAGTCTAAGAGAAATCGTAGCATCTCTACTGAAAAAAGAAACGTGGAACGGACGTCAGAAAAATACAGGCGAAACAAAACTGAACTTTGCGGACTGTAGTGCCGCGCGGGTGCGTTGAATTGCTGCGAACCCAGGACAACCGCTCATTCTGTTACGTCCTTTCTTTTTTCCCCTTGCCCAAAAAGTGCAGAAATTTGACAGGTGCGTTGAACGAGGTCATTCGTTTCCACTGGGGATGGTCGTAATATTGTACCAATACTAGTTCCAATAGATCAGATGGCAGCGCTAAACGGGTTGGGAAATTCAGTTGGATCGAAATTCCCCAGGAACTTCCAACGTCAAACGAGATGTGTCCCGCGAAGTGTCTAACCATGCTGCAAAATATTCGAAGATATTCTCTGCGTTACCCTTCAAACTGTGCGGTATTCGGGCAATCGAGTCTATCCAGCTTGATTACCGTAAGCTATATCCACACAGAAGTGTAAGCTGCTCATTCGTTATAAAACAAAGTGCGCGAAAATCAGCGACAGAAGGTGAAAGTACGATAACAAACGATCGCGCATTCACAACTGTAACTGTATCCATACCTTCGCTCGTCTTCTCATAGATTTGCCTTTTAGCTTAAATTCCTGCGCTGCCTCCAACAGGGAGACTTTTAATGTTTCGTTGTTGTCTTCTGTTAGCATTTTCGAGCGTTCATTATTGCCTTTTTTCGGGCCGAATAAACTGCGAGTGACGCGCATTGATTATAGGCCATATATGCAAAATTCTTGACAGCTATAATCGCCACGTCATTCAGAGCCGCCATATACATATATATTTTTTTTTCTTCACATCTACCAGCTGTGGACAAGGCGCATCTGCAATTAATTCGGTTTTCATGATATTATGACGATGTATTTGTACGCTCAGTGGGTCGCTCTTTATTTTTGATTGAAAGAAGAGAAAGACTGTTGCGTAATTCTAGAAAAGGAATTGTCAGCAACGAGGTCGCAACACTCGTTACTCAAACGGTGAACTGTGCCGTCCAGGTCAGCGCACAGTCTTTATCGAAGACGTTGTTGTGTGAAGGGTTCGTACTGGACTTGCAGTACGTGATCATATCTTAAATCTACGACTCCCACTTTGCCGGGACCATTGTCTCTCGGGCGAATCTATTGCTTCGGGAACCGCCCAATATATGGCGGAACTCTGATAATTAATCACAAGTACACTAGGTGGCGCTTTTCTTTTTGCCTATGTGGTCTATCGACTATACTTCGTTTCACCGTCACTTGGCAAAATTCGAACGCTACGGCCCCTTGGGGGCGAATCAGAGCGATGCAGGCGAAGCGCTTGACAGCGTATACCAAGGGAACAGGGGCGAGAGCGTAGCCCAAGCAGCTACGGAAGGAGGGACTCCCCTCTTACCCGGACCTACCGCCGAATTCAGAAACCTCACTCGAACTATACTCAAACTTAAGGGCCCCTCCACTTCCTCGAGGAAGGCGCGAGGGCCGGCGCTGGCCTATCGCGACGGCAGATCCGTCCTCGCGATTGGCCAGCGCCGGCCCTCGCGCCTTCCTTGAGGAAGTGGAGGGGCCCTTCAGTTTGAGTGTAGTTTGAGTGAGGTTTCTGAATTCGGCGGCTATATAGTGACACTAGGTCGCTATATAGTGGCTCTGCCCGGACCCACAGCGTTAAGGAGCGCGTGACGCATCTTCCCGTCACGACGTTGGCGTCGTGACGGGAAAATCCTGATTGGTCGTAGGGTCATGACGTCACAGCCACATGACCTCGTGCGGGAATTTCAAACAACCCAGAACGCTCAGATAACGTCACGCATGGAAGGAAAGTAATTAAAAGGTTAAATGTAATCCGAAATAAAGGTCGCCGCATGTCTCAAATGATTTCACTTTAAAAAAATAATTAATTTGCCTTAAAAAAAATTAAGAATTTTAGGCGGGAATTGAACTCACTGCCTTGTGATTGCGAGCCAGACATAGAGGCCACGCAGAGATATGATCACGTGCTGCAAGTACATGATTAGCCCGTCACTCAAAATTGGTGCAAGAGCGGCTTTTCCCTTCCTCTCCCGCTCGCGGCGTCGACAGCACTGCGCTCAACTCGTGAGACGGGGTCAGGTGTCTCTCTGCGACGCTCTGATTGGCTCACATGGGACCGTAGCCTTGGCCCTTTGTCAAGTTACGGTGAGACGGGGAAGCTGGGCTGTGTGTGCACGCTTCGCCGGCCTCGGGGATTCGCCCGCATGAGCGAAAGTGTCGTATGTGCGTGTGTGCACGCTTATACCTGCCACGACACGAACCTGCTAGAGCGATGAAGGATAATTAATCGCTAATTCGCGGTAAATGCCCCTCATCGGTCGGTTCGCGTTTTTGCATTCCTTTGTGCATATTATCTTTGTTTGTAGTTTGTATTGGATGAGGGTTTAAACAGAAGGCTCAATGTGGATCTGCCAATTTTCGTGGGGTTCTCTTCGTGTTTCTTGTGTTTTTTCGCATCGCACGCACTCTAACCTTATTTACGTTTTCAGCCGTGCATCAGCTCTCTTGGTGGAGCCTGAAAGAACACGTGGCGTCGGTCTTTTCTTGTTTGCTGCCCGTGTTGCAGCGTAATGAGATCGCGTGTTATGGTAATGGGCTGTACTTAGTTGTGTCAGTAATCGTTTGATGACTGACACGGCGCCGGCGCATCTGCTGTAGTCGCATAGGTGCGTGCTCGCAAACGGCGGCGCACCACAGGCAGCCACAGCAGACCAATAGGAGCGTGCGCGTCTGAATCTGGGATACGCCATGAGCCAGATTACCGGCATAGTTCGACGCGCGGTCGAACTATGGCGGTAACTTGGATAAGTAGGATATCCAGCGCTTTAAGTCTTACCTGTACGGTTCAAATACATATACGTATAGGTACGTAGGTAAAAAAAAAAAAAAAAGATAGGAAAAAGACATTTGCTGGTACAATTTTTATTCCATCGAATTTATTTTAAAAATTACGATTACACTAACAAACAAAAACAAAAGCCAAAACGCATTTTTAAATCTTCTTTTTTTTAACTTGGATGATTAATTTGATGAAGGGCTGTTTGTCGTTAACGTCCGCCTAGAACAACGGCCAACAGCAACAGATCGACGACACAGTCAGAGTCGCTGTAGTATAAGCTATACGTTTAACGCACGGGCACTCCATTCCCCGACTTTATTGTGGGCGCTGCCATTTTTGATGCTTACTGAAGAGAGGACGCAGTTTGTGGTTGTTACGATTCGCAAATGCCACTTTCTGAGCTTTAGGCATACGGTCGCTTTGCTCTGGCCCGAACTGTTTCGATGTTTCTGGAGGGCGGAAAACCGTTTCCTGCGATCTCAGATAAAGCTTCAGATCAGCGGCAAGAAATGATTTGAAGCATCGATGCGGTTCGAGTGTCTTTACTCTGAAGCTTATTTTGTGGCTCCAAACACAATGTTGCCGTATTTTTTTGGTATTGCCCGTTCTGGGTAACGACGGCTTTCAGTAAAGGGCGTATTATTTTGAGCCACTGTTCAGTTGTTTTTGCTTTTTTGTTTCAGTTTAATTTGTTCGGGCCATTTTATACTAGAAGTTGAGGCAGGGCTTCCATAATTGTAGTAGCCATGTCCTACAGATTTCACGTGGAGTACTTGAAAATATACTGCTCACAATTAAAACGACTTTCGTGTCCTTTGATCCGTTTATCGGTAAATATTATATTTATTTTTGTCATTAATTTACTCGAGTTAGACAATTGGGAATACGACAATATTACGCTCTGCCGAAAACGCCGTTATTTGTAAGAAGTAAACATTTAGAATATGTAAACCCCAATAAATGCAAAATTAGCGATACCAAAAAAAGAAAAAAAAAAACATTGCGAAGGACATTTTTTTGATTTTCACAAAAAATAGAACTCCGAAGTCCCAAAACACTTACACGTGCACCTCGTAACGTCATGCATTAAAAAAAAAAAAAAAAAAAAAAAGTTATACGAAAGTGTTTTGTTTACTAGTTGGACTTGAACCCTGCAACTCTGAGCTTACACGTCATGCTTTACGTAACCTTTAAAACGGGAGCTTTATTTTTTATTTATTTTTTTGTCAGAATTTCGGGATTGTTGTTGTTTTAGGCTTTTAGGCTCTGCAACTTGTTTAAATACAACTCCTAAGAG